GCTTTATATCCTTTCGCTCTTTGCTGGATTCTGAAAAAAATCCACCCTTCAGTGTAATCCGCTCTCGAGGTGCATGTGCTGCATCGCCCATAAGTATGCTATATAATTTCTTCATTTTTATAGTGCATCTCCCAGGTTCTCGCAATCTCTCCCCTTCAGCACTTCTACGACAAATCCCCTCACAAGTTTTCCGCTGACAATGCATATGCATTGTTTTCTCTTAGGAGCGCAAAAAAAAAAAAAAAAATAATAGGGGGTAGAATTTATTTTTTTTTTGGGGTAGCACAGACCCTCCACCACTTGGCGCTTGATGACGATGATAAGGATGATGGGGGGCTAAAAGAAGGGAAAATCATGGATGAAAATAGGAGGAAAATGCAAGAGGAGAGGGAGAGGGACTCCCGGTGGGTAGGCTGGCAGGGATCTGTCATTTCGATTTCAATTTGCACTTTAATTTGCATTCCCCTCGGATTTGCTCTCACTTTTATTTATTATATTCGTATATTCATCTTGGAAAGCTTTTCCATTCCACACTTTTTCTCATAGTTTTCGCCAGACTGCAGACTGGGGAAAAACTCCTGCACTTGATTGACATCACGCAATCGCTGCAAAATCGCTCTGAAGGAAACTACTTGAAATTTGGGAAATATAGAGAGGAAAATTAAAGCTTGAGGATCTTGTCTATTTGTGATTTCTAAACATATTTATTACCAAATGATATATCTATTTTAAAACCATATTGAAATTCCTATTAAGGCAAAACTATTGTTTCTAAATAACCAAATCGGAAGCCAAGAAAATGCGCATTTCCTTCTTACCGTAACGCTTGTCGGTGACATTTTCCTGTTGCCACAAAAACGTTCGTTCATCTTGGCAATCGCAGAGCCGGAAAATTCCATGACATAGGCACCTAGCATTGGCATCGACATGGAGCAACCTATCAAAACCAGAAATTCCTTGGCCTGTCCATCAAGGACACACCACACCCACCTCCTGCCATCTGTCTTCCACCTGTAGAAACTGTCACTAGACCACAGCAACAACAACAAAAATGAGAAAAAAAACAAAAAAAAAAAAGGAAAAAGAGAGGAAAACTTAGTGACAGAAACACGCACAGCTCAGGACAGCACAGGACACAGGACACACACACACGATGAGGAGAACTATCCTCCTCCGGTTTCAGGAATTGCCATAAACTAGTCAGTTAATCTGGTCATCTCACTCCGTCATCTGTCTCTCTCCCTCAGTATCTCTCTATCCCACTCCCTCAGTAAATCTCCCTCTCTCACTCTCCTTTTCCCTCTCCTCTATGCTGGCATTTCCCTACCCACATCCTCCCTCGGTGGCCATTTAATCTCCATGTGTTTGCAACTACTCTATTAGCCGCATTTTAATTCAGTTACTTAAGTTTAGTGTGAACACAACAATTTCATACTTGACGTCACCAGAAGAGCACAAGAGATGGCAACACAACGAAGCGAAAAAGAGATGGGGAGATGGAAAATTAAATTCTACTTTTATATAGAAATAGTAAATTGTTTGGTAATTTTATTTCAACGAATTTAGATTGCGAAATATGGCAAAAAAGGAACTTTAAAGGGATAGCAAGAAGAATATTTCTTTGACCGAAATAAAATTATAAGTTACAAATAAAATTAGTATAGATTTATTCTGGTACAAGGTTTTTCTATTTTTTTAGAATCTTAAAACTATAGAAAATATTTGTAACTTGGAACAAAATGCACACTTATTACATAATAAATATAAGTAGTTTTTTGAAACCTTCCAAAATGTATAGTTATTTGTCAGAATTAATATTTAAATATATTTATTCTTCAACTTCTCTTTAAATGTATATAGTTTCTTTTAAAAAACTAAAGAAGAAACCATCTTAGAACTAAAATGCGTTTCACCTGTAGGGATTCAATAAGGACAAAAGCTGCCACATTTTCAGCACTGGTACTGGTGTCAAAGGAAAGCGCTTGGAATGTGCTAAAATAACCGGCTGCAACTTTGAGAATTTTCATTTTATTGTCATGGCCTTCCTTCCTCTGTCTACCCCCGTCTTCCTCCCTCTCTCTCTCTCTCTCTCCCTCTCTTTCTTTCTATATATCATTCTCTTTTTGTGTCCATCTCTTTCCATCAGATGTCAGAGGTTAGTTTGCCGCATTGACCTCACGTTGTTACAGAAAAAGCCTTGGTGACCACTCAGCCTTCGGGGAATGCATCAGGGTTGCTCAAATTCGATATGACACATCGGTAGGGACTTTAAATCAATTAATTTTTAACAAATATCGAAAGATTTAGGAAGTTACAAGGCCTAGAAATAACATAAAAATAGCTTATTTTAATAACATTTAAATAGGTATAATAGTAAATTGTTAAAATACAGAAATAAATTTAAAAATTATAATAGAAATCCAAATACTTTTTGAAAATATCATACCAACAATTAAATTGCTCGAAAATATCGCAAATTTCCCCATTTTTATTTAATTTTCCATACAATGTCCTGGACATTCCGATACATTTGATACCCTTTTCCCATCGCTGTAATGCAATGGAATGGGGTGGTAGAATCACCTCCTCCCTGCGGTCAAAGGTAAAAAGTTTTGTCAAATTAAAAATGTTTACTGCTTTTCCTACTTTGCCAAGAGTTTTCCCCCTCGGACTGCAGTTCGCTCAGGCATTAAAAACATCCTAAATTAGATACATTTTATCGCTACACATGAGATAACCCGAAAAGAAGAGATGCCGGGGAACTAGAGAATCAGAGAACCAGAAAAGTGAAAGAGCCGGAGAAGACTAGAGGAAAAGAGGATGGAGAAAGGAGAGGCACTCCAGTGAGGGGCGAAAGTTTTGAGTGATATTTATTGCATGACACTTGATGCTCCCGTCCCGCATTTAACCCCTTAAGAACTTGAATCCTTTTCCGGTCTCTTTATTCCCCCATTCTCGTTGTATGTATGTATGTGTGGATGACATGTCAGCAAGCATTTAATTTGATTTTAAATCTTTTGCTTGAAGAAAAGGACTTTACTTGAGATTTTCCCCTCAAACGAACACTCAGAGCACACAGATAACTTTAATCACCAAGTTAAATTCGAGATAATAGAATGGTCATGGATTTGCAGTTGAGTTAATAAACTCAGCTTTTGCAGATGAGAATGTTTATCTCTGACTTTTCACAGCTCTGGGGGAAAAGCCGAGTGAATTTCCATATTTTTTTTTTGCTTATGGTAGTTTTCAAATGAAATAAAGCCAGAAAGAAGAACAAAACTACAAGACATAAAGTAAACTTTGTTCTTGGGCTTGGTTATTAAACATTCTGACACTTTGCAGTCATTTAATAGACCAGAAAACGAAATTTATTGTAGATTTCAGTAAGTTAAAAATTGTTTAGATGTTTTATACATAATATTAAATATAGAAAATATATATTTATAGGATTTTCATAGGGAAAGTAAAGGTTAGAGATCGATAAATCAGCAGAAGCTAGAAAACTAGAAACTTTTTAAATAAAGCATAAAATATATTTATTTATTGCATTTTTAGCTTTAAGAAATACCACCTTCTTGAATAATAACTACATATATTTTCCAAGTTTAAAAAGCATATATTTCCCCAAATTTCTCAGCATTTTCTTTTTTAATAATAACTACATATTTGTTTCCATTTGAAAATCATACTTTTCCTCCAATTTTCCAAGCGCTTTCTCTGTTTGAATACTTTCCAGACTTTGATTAAATTTATTTCTATTTTTTACTTGCACTATTTTGCCTTATTTTGCTGTTGTCTTTAACTTAAGAAACTGCAAAAAAATAAGGACGAGTTTTGGGGCAAGGGATAGCTTGGGAAAGCAGGAAAGGAAACTTTCTGTCGCCATTGTTGGTAAAAGTTTTGCAATCGCCAGTGCCTCATAAACTTTATGCATATGCACTGATGGCAAAAGGGAGTCAGGGAGAGAATGCACTTAAAGAAATATAACAAAATCTATAATTTTAGATATATTTAGGGAACAAATTATACATATATTTAACTAACAAAATGTATAATTAGTGCAGTGCCTAGATAGACTTCCTCCTCAAAGGCAGACTCATTTGGCTAACTATATTTTCATTTCTATTATTTTTGGCAGTTAATTTTAGTTTTCTTTTAGTGTACTTACTGGTTAGTGAAGGGAATACCGCATAATATGCGAACTGGGCCTGTCATAAATGAAAGTTATGCCTTCTCTTCTGGCCAAGGCAAATGAACGCTCTGAGAATTGTGCCAGCCCAGTAAGCGTTTCTTCCTTTGCCTGGTTTCTGTCATGGTTTCCTGCGGGTGCTTTTTGGGGTGGCTTCAGCGGTTTTGCCATATGTAGACTGTCGTCTCTAATTATTAAGCCTCACATACACACTCACACGCACTCACACACTCTTAGAGGGAAAGCCAAATGAATATTGAAGGACGCCGAGACCGCAACAGAATTTATTTTAAGCTAATTTTCTTATTTTACACTTAGTTTTTCGGCCCCTTAACACTCCCACGCACACACAACCTCGTTGAATGAAGGGCTTGCTTAACCCACTAAGTCCCGGAAAGTCAACGAGGACTCTGCCATTTTGACTAATAATACAAACTTAATACGGTAATCCACTTATGCAACGGCAACAGTGAAAGAAACCGCAAGCCGCTCAACACCAAAGGCGCACAGTCGTTCGAACTCAATTTACATAGAAACCATAGATTAATGGCCAACAAGAAATTCAGAGAATGTATAGAGATATAAAGAGATAATTATATTGCTAATTTTATGAAAAACATATGTTAAGTCAGGAACCTGTCTGTAAGTTTGTGAGATTGGTGTCTTTTGAATCTTTTTCTAACCTTAGTCCTAAGATCGGTTAGATCTCAACTTCCTTTTCAAACTGTTTGGATAGTAATTTAGTCAATCCAAGTGAAACTTTGTTTCAAAAAGCACATCGTAGCAACCTTAGTGTTAAAAGTTGTGCTGTATAGTATTAGTCTCGATGTTTAACCAGTACAGCACAACCATTAGTACCGTAAACACCTCCTGGAATCCGAAAAGTAAAAATTATTTGTATTATTTTTACCGAAACATAAATTTCTAAATTTCGAGCATTTCGATTTGATTAGTTCCTGGCTCTTCTCGTCCATCTGCAAATCAAGGACTTTGTTGCCGAGTAGATCCTGGGCAGGCATGGGATAAGTGCCTGCCCAGGGTTCCAGACCATAATGTCGCATGTCGACCCCCATTTGTGAGTTATTATGACTTCGATTTATTTCTCCAGGAAGTCCAAAATCCCCCATGTAACTTATTTATAGTTCATCACCGTCAGAATAATGGATGCCGGTATAAAAAGTACGAGACGAACGACACCGCCAGGTGATGTTGACATATTGATGGCACAGACAACCCAATTGAAAGTTACTTCATCTTCACACACGATCACCATTTTGCAACAGAATAAGGCCATTGGAACGCATTCGCTACATCTCGACTTTGGTGTTTCGCTAGCCTCAACTACTTTGCATATCTGAACCATTACATGTGATTTTACACCCATTTGCAAGGATCCTCGGGCAAGGATTTAGCATACGGTGGGCGATCATCCATCCCCTGCAAAGGTCATTCGGGCAGCATTGTTTTGACGGGTCGTGGCACTTTGGCAAAGCTTCGGACAAATTTAATACTAGATTTATTTTGGAACACAAATATTATGTTTTCTTATTGATACTATTTTACAAAACGCAGCCAATATATTATATTATATTGATTGCAAATAAACTTTATACCTGTAATTTATCTTGTTTGTTAAAATGATAATTTTGAAAGTTAAATTATTTAGGAACCATTAGAAAATAAATGTACATTTCTGTCAGAAATTTGAAACGCAGTGAAGGACTCATTTCCGACGCTATAAATAAAATATATTCTTGATCAGCATCAATAGTCGAATCTGTCTAGGCATTAAGGTTTGAACAAAACAATTTTAAATTTTTTTAAAATTTTATAAGGACTTACATCATAAAAATTTTCAAAAGTATGCAGATTTAGTAAAGTAATAAAAAGAAACATAGAAAAGGTTTCCGAAATGAAATATATGCTTTTTTGACTGAGCTATGCATTTTTTCAAGGAAAATTATAGAAGAAAAATTATATAGAAAATGATAAAAGTTATTATAATAATAAAATTATTCACTTAAAATTTTACGAATAGTTATTTTTTTCAAATTTTTACTCATTCATATTAAGGGAGATTTGTTTAAATTAAAAATTGTATATTTTCTTTTATGAAAAACCAAAATCAGTGTGCATTTCAGTCAATTTGCTGCCTTGCTCTTAGTGCGTGTGCCAGTGTGTGTGTGTGTGTGTATGTAAGTGGGGTAGTGTGCGTTTTTTTCTCGCTTTTTCTCAATTTTTCGAAGGAAACCAAAGTTTTGCGGCGCGCACATTTTTCGTGTTGCCAACTTAACACTTTTGCTTAGCCCCTTCACACACACACACACACACACACGCACATCATAATTTATATGTGCCAGGCTGTGTGTGTATGTGTGTGTTGAGTGGTTGTCCCCCTTCCCCCGACACACACACACACTTTCATCCTTTTTTTGTAAGTGTATGTGTGTTTGAAGAGAGTCAACAAGCGAGAAAGGCAAACACTTGGCAAAAAAAAAAAAAATAAAAAGAATACAAAAAAAGGAAATACGGAAAACCTCATGAGAAGAAAACGCAAAGGAAAACTATAAAGTGTACGGAAGCCTGAGACAGCAATTCAATTTGGCATGAACTAACTATGCGTGTGAAAGGGAGCAAAAGAGATAGACAGTGTCCTGTACACGGAGAGAATATTCGTAGGTTTCGTTAACAAATTAATGTTTTTCTACATCAAAATTTGAGAGAAAATAATGAAGAAATCATAGGTTTATTCCCTGATTGAATATAGGATTTTTAAGGATAACATTTTACCCCAAAATTTTAATTGGGTTTTTTATTTTTATTAATTTTTAGGTAATTTATTTCATTATTTAAAAAACCTGGTTTTATTAAGTATTTTAAGTAACGAATTAAGAATATAAATATTAATATATAAATATTATAATATATTACTTGATGAGCTCAATTTTCTCCCTGTGTAATAACTGCGGCCAAGAGAGTGCGTAACGGTATATTTATGGCCAGACTTGAGACGACACCAACAGAGCTACCCATCGAGCTAAAATCTACAACAAAAAATATACAATACCAAAAACAAAAACACCAAGGAAAAAGGCAACAAAAATTATTTCGCTGCCAAAGAATGTGAAAAGCAGCTAGGGGGAAAAGTGTGGGAAAATTGTAAACAGGGGGGGTGGTGGAGTAGGGTCGGAAAAATGGATAGACTGCCTAAGCTGCCTCTTCACTTAATTGCAATATTCCATCGCACACACACAAACACACACACAAGGCTCAAAACTGCACACCGAAATAAGCGTATTAAGTGGGTGAGTTTTTAGCCCCAAAAACTGTGCTACAATTTCTGGTAATAGTTCGGAATAGTCTGATGAGCAAATTAAGTTGGCATCAATAAGGGCAAATCAAGGGGGGGTTACTTACGTTATGAGATATGAGTGCTAACAAATTAATTTATAAATAAATATTCGCACAAGCAAAAGTAAAGAAAATTAATAAAAACAGGGTTTATAACTGAGAAAACAAGTGCTTGAAACTGTTAAAATAGTCATAATAGGTTTACAAATTCAATCAATGCACACACAAAAAAAAAACCCAACTCGAAATTAAGTAAAATATAGTAATATTATAAAATGAAAGGAACTTAACTTCGGGAAGCCAAAGGTTATATACCCTTAAAGTTGGCAATTTAATTATTGAATCAATATTTTTTTATATTTGTCGATAAAATTGACAAATTACATTTTTAAGAACTCATAACTAAGACAAAAAAGCATTAATTTTAAATCGGAAGGCTTTTTTTGTTATTTTTTTATGTTAATAAGTCTAAATACTCAGTATAAAATTAAAATCAAATAAAATTTTTCCCATTTTTATTTTTATTTTTACGATGTAACCCCTTGTACAATTTTGACAAAATTGGCAAAAACAAAATTTTCTATCCGACAAGGCTAGAAAGATTCGCCTGTTAATGTTAGTCAAGAATATATATGATTTATAGGGTCACTGCGTTTCAAACTTCTGACTGAAATTTTAATCCCTTCAAGAGTATAAAAATGGAAATGAACATTTATTCTCTTATGGTTCCTAAATAATTTAATTTTCATACACTCTTTAAATATTCATATATAAAATAATATTAAAAGGAAACAATATAAATTACAGGTATAAAGTTTATTTGCAATCAATATAATATAATATTTTGGCTGCGTTTTGTAAAATAGTATCAATAAGAAAACATATTTGTGTTCCAAAATAAATCCAGTATTAAATTTGTCCGAAGCTTTGCCAAAGTGCCACGACCCGTCAAAACAATGCTGCCCGAATGACCCTTGCAGGGGGATGGATGATCGCCCACCGTATGCTAAATCCTTGCCCGAGGACCCTTGCTTATAGGTGTAAAATCACATGTTGTAATGGTTCAGATATTCAAAGTAGTTGAGGCTAGCGAAACACCAAAGTTGAGATGAAGCGAATGCGTTCCAATGGCCTTATTCTTTTGCAAAATGGTGATCGTGTGTGAAGACGAAGTAACTTTCAATTGGGTTGTCTGTGCCATCAATATGCCAACATCACTAGGCGGTGTCGTTCATCTCGTACTTTTTATACCGGCAACCAATCTTCTGACGGTGATGAACTATAAAAGAAGTTACATGGGGGATTTTGGACTTCCTGGAGAAACAAATCGAAGTCATAATAACTCACAATTGGGGGTCGACATGCGACGTTATGGTCTGGAACCCTGGGCAGGCACTTATCCCATGCCTGCCCAGGATCTACTCGGCAACAAAGTCCTTGATTTGCAGATAGACGAGGAGAGCCAGGAACTAATCGAATCGAAATGCTCGAAATTTAGGTTTCAGTTGCGGACTATAGAATTTAGACTCGATTCTTCGCGACTGTTTTCAAAATTTATGTTTCGGTAAAAAGATTACAAATAATTTTTACTTTTCGGATTCCAGGAGGTGTTTACGGTACTAAAGGTTGTGCTGTACTGGTTAAACATCGAGACTAATACTATACAGCACAACTTTTAACACTAAGGTTGCTACGATGTGCTTTTTGAAACAAACATTTATTTGGATTGACTAAATTACAATCCAAACAGTTTGAAAAGAAAGTTGGGATCTACGAAATAAAAGATTAGGGTTAGAAGAAGATTCAAAAGACACCAACCTTACGACCTTACAGGGTCTTGATTTAACACATCGTTGTAACAATAAATAACTTTAAATTTCCCTAAAACAATTTTAAACCAATTGTAAACTAAACAAGACGGAAAAATATATATACTTTTAAAAAATAAATATTTAAATAAAGTATTATATAAAAATAATAATTTAGAAGAGAAGTGTTTGGCATAAGCCCAAGACTTTTTTTCTAACCAAGGTTGAAAGTAGTGCAGTTTTTGAATAAATAGAATTAGATTTTGATAACTAGCCATACAATTTATACCAATTCAAAATTAAGGGAACCATAAGGAGTAAAATACATAAATAAATAATAAATAATATTATAGAAAAGAAGTGTTTGACATAAACCCAAGACTATTTCTCTTTTGTCCTGGCATTATTTATTCAACCATTGAGTAAGAAGCCATATCATTAAAGTCCAAGCAAATGAATGAAAAGGACCCCCAGAGGTCAGCAAACGGTAATGTGTTAGTGTACATGTATGTCCTGTGAGTTCTGTGAGGGAAAATGCGAACCGATTGGGACAGCAAAGTGAAAATCTACTGCTTAAAAATTGATTGTGAGGAACTCATTACCGATAGAGGATGAGGGACGCTTCCAACAGATGGAAAACAGAAAAACAGATGAAAAAAAAATGGAAAAAGAAACACAGCTCCTGCTCTCCGTTACGTTCCATTCAGATCCTGAGGGCGATGTGTTAATTTTCTTTGCTGGCACGTCCCTGTCATTGCCACTAGCCCATGTGCATTTCGATCAAAACCCTGCCTATTACCCACACCCACTCCTCCCCTTAGCATTGCAAGGCCACCCAACTCCTGGTTTTCCTTCGCATTTTCATTCCCAGCACCCCTCCATGGTTCCCGCTCATTTGTATGCCTGAATGCGTCTCCCTCCGCCTGCTTTCTTGTTTGCTTTCCATTTGCCGGGAAACTCGCCCGCCCCCTCCCCACCACCACCTCCTCTTCGTCCCTTTTGGATCCTTGCCCTATCCTACCCCCCCTCCGATGTCGTCCTCCGTTGGCAGTCTCAAGCAAAAGTCAACGACGCATTGGTTTTGAATGCAAATGTCCAGACGAGGACGGAGGCGAAAGGCAAGATGAGAAGCAATTTGCATGGCTTCCCTTATTCTTTTCAGTCATGCACTGAGAGAAAATGCCAAAAGCAACTATATTGAAAGCATATAAAATGGCAAGAATGTGCATTTACATTTGTCTTATAGAAAAGTCTTTCAAATAACCTTCTTCTTAGCTTCAATGAATCTTTTAATGGTAGCTGAATAGCATTTTTTCTCCCCGTGTATTGTGTACTTATTGTTGTTTGTGTTGGTGTCTGTGGCAGTGGCGATAAGAGTAAGCCAAGTCGCTGCGCTGGAAAAGCCAATGGAAAAGCAAAGCCAAAGCCAGTGGCTGCTAAGGCCAAAGGAGACACCTTTCGGCGCCTATCGTCTTTCAATTAGTTTAATTAAATTGCAATTTTCTTATCTCGCCATGCAGCCTGGTCAGAGTGGCGTCCTTGGTCAGCTTAAGTCCTGTTTATCTTTTTCGTCTCCCTTGTTTTTCCTACCAGTTTTTCCTCCCGGAAACCCCACAGTCGCCTTATTATTTCCCTGCTGTCTCAGCTGTTCTGTTTTCTTCTGTTTTTGTTAATTCCTTTGCTGCATTTTTAAAATGGCATCAAAAGTTCTTCACTCTTTCTACAGTGGTATAAGCCTAAAGGGCAATGCATTAATTAAAATTGTAAAGGGGTTTTTTTTTGTGTCTTAAAGATAACCAAGTCTATGAATCAACACATTTTCAATTACTTATTATGTTTTTAATTATTTTAAATTGTATAAAATCATTTATCACTTTTAAATTCTCCCTTAATTAAGCGTAGTCTAATTCAGTATTATTTCTGTCTAAAAAGTCCTTTCAAATTAACTTAGTCCTAGGCCTAGGTATTTTCTCTATTTTCACTGAGACTTACACCTGCGTTAACCGACTTTCCCCAAACTTTGCGCCTAGTTTTCTCCGCTTTGCCTAACCTTAAACCACGCGTCGCTTGCCTGCTCATTTGGACAGGCGCCAAAGTTATTTTACAAGTCCCCCCAAAAGCAAAGGATATACGTATACGTATTCCTGGTATCCTCGGGGGGAAAAAGGGGTGAAAAACTGTCTAAAGTGCGACCAAATGACCTTTTTAATTCGTGGCCATGCACTTTTTTTTCCTTTTTCCCTGCCGCTCTCTGCGGGGCATCGTTTTCCCTCGCTTGGCATTTCCCGGGGTCTTGGGTGTGAAATGAAATTTGCTGCTTTTGGCGCAGAAAGAAAGTTGCAAAGATTTTTTAAGCGTGTCGCATGTTTTTCCCTTTCCAAAAAAATTTCATTTCATTTTCATTTTCTTTTTTTTTTTATTGCACCTGTATGTTTGTCTGTCTGTTTTGGGAGTGTGTGTTTGGGTTGTAAAAATGTGTTAATGCTTAGTCCTGGTCCACAGAGAGAGAGTAGGTTAGTAATTCTGGTATTTAATATATTTTAAAGATAGTTTAATTTATATATTTGGGAAATAAATTTAAACCTGAAGTCATATTATCTAGAAATTCGTACTTCTCTACATGAAATCCTTTATAAAGTCTTCCATTTTTATTATTTTAAAGGTAACAACTTTATGATTCTATTAAAAATTCAATACCCTGGCTCTTAATTAATCTTTTCTTATTAATTCCTTTAAATAAAAATCCAACTTAAATTCTAAAAAATTTAACAAACATTCGTTGGACTTTAAGCTACAGAAAAAATATATAGAGCAGCACCCATAATGCGATGTTGCAAAATTCTTGGCAAATTTTGGCGCTCACCGTGTCTGCAAATGAAGTCTGTGCGGGCATGTTTTGTGGGTGTGTGTGTAGGTGTGTGGGTGTGTGTGTAGGTGTGTATGTGTGTGTTTCTGTTAAAATCAGCTTAAGCATTAGTGCTGGTCCAGCATCCTGTCCCCTCAGCCTCTAGCTCCACTAGGGGCAACCGTGGGGGTAAAGGGGACTAAGGTCAAATCCATTTGACTCTCTGAGCAAATTGCAGCGCCATACTTCAGCAGGCGACACCGTTTCGTTGCACCTCACCGACCATCGCACAGAGGGGATGAGACTATAATTGATCAATGTTATCGATATATTATCGAAATTTTATTTTTTAATATTAAAAAAATAGTTAACTATTAAATTATTTATTTTATCAGAAGTCTATTATGATTTATTTTTATTTTTAAATAAATTTTAGGATCTTAGAATGAAAACTATTGCCAATTCATAATAATTGTGTATTATTTATTACCCATAAGGTATTACCAATTCATAATCATTTTTAAATAATTGCAGTATCCTTTTATTTGCCATTATTAATATTATATTTATATGATCTTTATTATGATTCTTTTAAATTTACATATTAATAAAAATATTCATTATTATCATTTTGTAATAATTGTTACATGAAAGCGATTTATTTATTTGATTTCACAGTATTTTTTTATCTGCTTTTAATTAAACTAAAATTGTGAATTTCTTAGAATGAAAACACCAACCAATCCATAAACATTTTTTAATAATTCGAATACCGTGTACTTTATTACTATTGTTATATTTATTATTACTTTTCTAAATGTATATACAACTTTTAGTATTAATTATTTAAGTTTTGTAAAAATTATTACAGGAAATTTATATTATGATTTAATATCGACGTATTATTTACACTAAACTAAACTAAAAGAATTATTTGGTTAGCCAGGTAAAATTATTTCTTGAAAATAAATCGTTAAAATTAATGAACAAATTGTAGATAAAATATTAATTAATTTCCTTAAACGTAATAATTTTATATTGATCACTAAAAAAGTATATCACAAACCTTATATCAATATCAATATTAAAAACATTTAGGATATTTTTTGTCATCTCTACCAAACACACACACTCCTTCCACACACACACACACACACCTCCCACACACACACACACACACCTCCCACACACACACACACACCTCCCACACACACACGCAAATTAGTGCAAAAGGAAACGATGAAGAAGAAGCAGCAGTAACTGCAGGGACGAAGAAGGACGAAGGTTTTTTTTGTGGAAAACTGCCAACGCTGCATTTAACAATTTTAATGGATTTTTTCCCGCTGCCTCGGAAATTGAATCTTTAAACTTGACCCGCAGCTGAAGATTTAACACACACCTCCCCACACACACACTCACATAATTATGGCTCCCATAATGGCTGGGTGGGCGTGGCCCTTTCAAAAAATATATCTATATGTATATATGTATCCCCGCGAAATTCCAGGTGGAAAATGGTTCAACTGACAGCAGCTGCAGGAATTTCTGAATGCCGGAAAAATGTGTAAGAAAAGTGAAGTAAAGAAAAAGGCTTCACATCCGTATATCTGACTTATCTGCAGTGCGGAAAATGGCCAAAAGAAAAACGCCAAAGAATTAAGGATACTGAAATGAATATAATAGTATTTTTCTTTTTTTGTGATTTAAGTTAAATTGCAATATATTCATGGGGGAATTATTCAGTCTTTTTATTAAAATATTTTATTCATGAAGAACAGATAGTTGTAAAGGGTTTATATTTAAGGATTCATATTTAAGGATTAAAAATTAAGGTTTAGTATTTAAGGATCTTAAAGGCTTAGAATTTCCTTTTAGCTTTTCCTCAGTGCATCTATCTCTTTTATTGTCAACGACAAATGAAAATTCCACCTTGATGTTTTTCTCCCCCAAACCGTTGGCCTCGACATTTTCCTCACGTTTTCCTCCCTCTCAACTG